CAGCCTCGCTATTTAAGGGGCAGTCGTCGTTGCTCCCCATTGGCTCTCTCAGTGCGTCGTGCGCACTTTGCTAACGCACGCCTGTGCGTCTGTCCTTAGCGTGACCTCACCCGGCTCGGCTCGACTCCAGTGCAGTCTGGCTTCGGGTGCGCCTTCTTTGTCAAGGCATCATGTCCACCCTTTGAAGGTCGCGTGAGTTGTCCCTTCCGATGTGACCTCGGACTGTCTGTGTCTCTGTCTGGGTGACGTGCTCGATCATCCCAACAGATACTGCTACTAGTAGTATGCCAATGCTAGGAGTGCTAATTCTAGTAATCATACTTGCCAGGGCCAGTAAATAATATACTACAGTGCGGCCTGTACGTGCATGTACCTATGTCGGGCAAATAGTAAACTGAAGGCTTGAAGAAAAGTGTGTTTAATAAAAGCAGAAGACTCACCATGCATTGAATAATAATAATAAATTGTATATTTAAGGCCCAAGGGGCCCTTTCGTTAGGTCGTAACATAGAGGCATTGGCCGTTTTTCCAGGCTATATGTGGCTGTCTACGATACCTAGCTCTAGTTTACAGAACAGTGGAGCCTGACTAAATAGACTGTTGATAAAACACTGCCTGTGAGAGACATGGTGGTTGAGGCCATAAGGCTGCCACAAACAGCCACGATACAAATGTGCTGGGTCAAGACGGTGATCAGACAGACTCGTGGAATACCTTTGTCAGGCCGCACAGCATCCGCAAGAGTCAATGCCTGCTACCTTGCGTGTGTGCGGCGTGCCTTTTACATAGGCCTTGTCAGTCACTGCCCAACCTCATCACCAACTAGTGGACCGGCTCGGATAGTTGACAGTGAGGTTAACAAGGGGAAGATCAATCCTCCACCACAGACTAGGTCTATCGCGAGACGCGCAAGTTGTAGTCTGGAAGGTTGCCAGTCGATGGGCTAACTCGGTGCTCATGTAAGCCCATTTAAGTCAGCAGAGTCAGGCTATAGTAGTTAGTTAACGCGCCCTCTGTGGTATTCAAATGCACGCAAGGTGCCGACCACCCTAACAATAGACTGGCAACTGCAGTGGGGACAAGGTCGTGCGTTTTTCTAGCCTTATCAGCAACTGTGCCTGAGCCTATCGTCAATTGTTGTGCCATC